CGCCCCCCCCCACGCCCCCTGCAGAAGTCCTGCCTGTGGGTATCATTGCCGGAGCCACCATCGGAGCCAGCATCCTCCTCATCTTCTTCCTCGTCGCCCTGGTCTGCTTCCTCTACAGGCGCCGCAAAGGAAGTGAGTGCGGGGGAAGGGCAGGGAGGGGGAACTTCCCGGGAACCCCCTTCAACTCCGCCCGGGGTGGGGACCAGCTGCCTATCAGCCATTCAGGGGAGCCAGCAGGGACCATAGACAAACCCCCTCCCCTCTCCCACTCTATGTAAGACCTTAGGCAGCTCTGTGCCTCAGTTTCCACACTGTGCCACTCTGGGAGCCGGGACCCCCCATCCCTAGCCCAAGTCCCTGCTTGCCAGCACGGAGCATGAGGCCAGCAGCAGGCGACAGGAATGGCCACAGCACCCAGGTTCTGGGAGGAGGCAGGTGCTGCAGGGGCCAGGAGCAGCTTGAAGTGGGGAAGCCGGGGGTGGGATGGGGGAGGGAGGACATTTCCCCTGGGCCCAGACGGTCCCTGAGCCAGGTCCTGTCCCAGCACAGGGAGAGGCAGCTCAAGAAGGAGGCCATATTCTCCATGCCAGGAGGAAGGTGAGGCGAGGTCGGGGTACAGCCGGTAGAGACCCCCCCCCCCCCACTTCCCCGTGTCTGTCCCGCCACAGGCCGTAAGGACGTCACCCTGCGCAAGCTGGACATCAAGGTGGAGACGGTGAACCGGGAGCCCCTGACGCTGCACGCGGACCGCGAGGAGGACACAGCCAGCGTCTCCACGGCAACCCGCGTCATGAAGGCCATCTATTCGGTGAGGGGCGCCCTCCCCCCCCAAACACACCCCCAGGTTCCCAGGATGAACCCCTCCTGGGTTCTGTGCCCAGCTCCAAGAGGCAAACATGGCTGAGCTGGGACACCGGACTCCTGGGTTCCCTCCCTGGCTCTGGGACAGGAGTGTGGCTTGATGAGAAGAACATGGAGGCTGAAGAGGGCAGCGGTGGTATCTGGGCTCAACTTCCACATCTTGGAGGGGAGGGAGGCCTAGTGGTTGGTGCACAAAGGGGCCAGGTACTATTCCCAGCTCTGGGAGGAGAGTGAGGGCTAGTGGTTAGAGCACCGGGAACCGGTGTGGGGAAGGGCAGGACATCTGGATTCTCTCTGCAGCTCGGGGAGGGAATTGTGCCTAGTGGGTAGAGCAGGAGCTAGGTTTTAGTGCAAGCTCTCATAAGGAAGCACGAACCAGGGGAATGGGAAACCAGAGCTCCCGCCTTCCTGGAACAGCTCTAGCTGCAGGCTTCACAAGAGGGAGGAGGGTGCAAGGCCAAGTCGGCACCCCTCGAACAGACCCATGGACTAAGCCAGACTCCTGACCTTCCTTCCCAGCTCTGGGGGACAGTGTTGTCTGGTAGTTAGAGCTGGAAGCTGGGTCAGTTCTTTGGTCCCCTGCCATGCGAGGCCTTGGGCAGCTCTGTGCCTCAGTTTCTCCCTCTGCGGAGCAGGGCTAGTGGGCCCCGTGGGCTAAGTGCAGCTCCAATCATGCCCCCCCGAAGCCGGCCGTATCCAGCCCTGCTGGGAAGGTGGGGTCACTCAGCCATGCTCTGTCTGTGACCAGTAGGGGGTGAGGAAGCTGCCCCCAGCTCTGTCCTGTAGCTCAGGCTGCTAACACCCAGGAGCTCAGCTGGAAGCTCAGCTTTGCCATTTCGAAGGTCCCAGCTTCCAACCCGGGTGCTGCCGACCCAGCCAGGGATGCCTGAGTTCTTCAAGGGGAGGGGGGGGCCAGGGATTAGACCAGGCGGCCCGGACTCCTGGGTCCCATTCTCAGCGGGTTACGCCAGGGCTCCCGGCGTGTGGGGAGGAGCAGCGGCTTGTGTTGCCCGTGGGGCAGGGATGAGTCCGTGCCAGGGGAGCCAGGCAGCCGGTGGGCCAAGGCAGAGCTGTGGGGAGGCTGACGCGCCCTCTCCTTGTCTCCCTCTGCAGTCGTTCAAGGACGACGTGGACCTGAAGCAGGATCTGCGCTGCGACACCATCGACACGCGGGAGGAATACGAACTCAAGGTCTAGTGCCGCCCCCCGAGAGTGCCTGTTTGTGGAGTGGGCGAAGGGCAGGGAAAGGTGGCCTGGGGGGGGAGGGCAGTGGCGCGAAGGTTCTTGAGCACACCAGTGAGTTGGGCGCACGTGTGAAAGGGTGTGCGCACGTCAGCGGCGTGCACGCACAAGGGATTACACGTGTGCTTCTGCTGGGGGTGGGGACAGGGTTCCCTGTAAGCTGAGCACGTGGGCAGCCACCCAGGAGGGATTCGGGTGCCACCCATCTGATTTGCAGAGTGCCCGTGGTGGTGCACGTTCTCACATGCCTCCGTGCACAGAATAAAATTTATTCCGTGCGCGGTTGGAAAAAAATTGAGGTGACACTGAGCGGAAGCCAGGATTCCTGGCTTCTTTTCCCCACTGTGGGCACGTGGGGGGTCCCAGTGGCGAGAGAAGGGAACGGGGAGCCAGGTTTCTGGAGTTCCTTTCCTGGAATATTGCACAGACACACGGAGCTTTGCCCTACCCGCCGTGAGCGCTGCAGCTCACACCCTGACCCTCTCCTTTCCCCTTCCAGGACCCGACCAACGGCTACTACAACGTCCGCGCCCACGAGGAGCGCCCGTCATCCCGCACCGTGCTCTACCCCGACTACCGCACCCCGGGCCCCACCCGCTACGACACCCGCCCCTCCTCCCGCCTCTCCCACTCCAGCGGCTACGCCCAACTCAGCACCTACAGCCGGGGGCCCCCCACGGACTACAGCACCGAGCCGGCCCCGGGGCCCCCGCCAGGCCCCGCCGCAGGCGAGACGGCCAGCCAGCTCTCCTACGAGAACTACGGGGGGCATCCCGCCTTCCCGCCCAGTGCCGGCTACGCCACCTACCGCCTGGGCTACAGCCAGCCCCCCCCGCCCAGCCTGGACCGCGCCCCCTACGACGCCTACGACCCCATGAGCAAGTACGCCAGCGCCACCCGCTTCTCCTACACCTCCCAGCACTCGGACTACGGACAGCGCTTCCAACAGCGGATGCAGACTCACGTCTGAAGGACCTGGGGGGAGGGGGCGACGATCCTCACCGGGGACATGCAGGAGGTGGGGGGGGTCGCAGGTACTTTGTGACTGTCCTCTGATATTCAGGGGCTTTTCCGTGCCCGCCCCCGCCCGGCAGCCGGATTCCCAGTCTGCCCGGTGACTGCACCCCTCTCCGCCCTGCATTCACGGGGCCTTGGCATCCAGCTGTCTCCTCTTCCGCCATCTGAGCTTCCAGCCAGCTGCCCCTCCTGGGGTCTCCATTCGTCCTTTTCAGCCCGTGGCTCCGGGCGCCTGACTGCAAGGAAAACAGATGGGGGGGGGGAGCCTGTGAAGCCCCTCACCCTGCCCCGGTCCTGCCCAGCTCTGCTCCCAGTGGGCTGGAGGCCGGCTAAGGAGCGCTGGTAGCTGCAGGAGGAGAACCCCTCCCTCTCCCTGGATCCCCACCCCCCACCCCATCCTGCTCCAAGCGAGACTCTGGAAACTTGCCCCGGGCTGTGCTGGGCCGACCCGATTTCTTTGCCACGCGTTGGATCTTTCAGGGGAGACGGGACGCGAGCTGACCCCAGGCCGGGGGTGAAAGGTTGTGAAGGGGGGGGGGTTGGGGGGCAGCGAAGGAGCCAGGGTCAATGGCAGGGGGGGAAGCAGAAGGCAGACTAGGCTGTGCATGCTCCCAGGAGATCCCTGGAGTCTGCAGCTGGCTCCTGTGCGCCTCCTCCCCTAGGAAGTGGCAGAGTTGTAGTGCCACGGGCTCCCAGGGCCCCTGGCATGCCACGGCGGGCATGGCGGATGCTGCAAGGGGTGAGGCGCCTGTCAGCTAGCAGGCCGGATAACCCCGCCGGAGCCAATCGGCCAGCCCAGGAGTAAACCAGCCCCCGAATGGGCAAAGGGCTCTGATCCAGCCGGGCCCTGAACCTCCTCCGTGCCCGTGTTCCCTGTACACGGAGCGCGTGGGCGGCCACCAGGAGAGATTCCAACCCCACCCAGCCTGATTGGCAGAGGCAACAGGGGGTTCTTCTGGTGGTGCACATCTGCACAGGCCTCTTCACAGAACAAAATTTATTCTGCACACAGGGGGTTGCAGGGGGTGGGGGGAATGGGAAGGAACGTTGCTCAGTGCAGGATCAGGTATTAATGTGGAAAACCAGCCTGGAGCAATGGCTCTGGACCTAGTCCTTACCTGGGACCCCCATCCAATACCAGAGCCCCCACTTCCATGCAGTCACCCTGTGGCCGATGGTGGCATCTCTTGTCCCATATCCAGGTCCCTTAAACCAATACCAGGCTCCCTCTTCCCTGCCAGCCCTACATCCAAGTGCTTCCATTCACAACAGCACAAGCCAGACCCTGGCCAGTCAATAGCCCTCGGGGAAGCTGGGACCCCTTGCTGCTCACACCCCACATTGTCTCCCTCCCCCCCATGGGGTCCCTCCTTGAGACGAAAGCAGGTGGCCAGGGGGCTCTGATCTCTTCCCCACAAGCTTGTCCGTCCAGGGCTGAGCTGGCTCCGTCCCCCGTCCCTAGCACTTTGAATACGTTTGCTTCGGTTTATGTTGGGGGGGGGGTATATACATATATTTTATATTGGGGGAGGGTTGGTTGTTTTCCTCCGAAAGGGCCGATTGGAATCCTGCCTCTTCCGCCACTTCCTGTGCCTTTGTCGTTCAGCTTCCTTTGAGCCGTCCACGGTCGTGGTTGAACTGCGCGAAGGGGATGGGGGCATTCAGTGTTTTAGGGGACCCAGGGCGGGGCAGCCAGAGGCTCATGTCACCCTGCCATGCATGGGCCCTGCCTCTGCAAAAACATGGTCCTCAGTTTGCAGGCAGGGCTTCCCTGGTAGCTTGAGGGATGGAGAGCTGTGCTTTTAAAACTCAAGGTTGTGAGTTTGAATCCCTGCAGATGCAGCCTCTATTGGTGACACAGCCTTTCTAGAGCTGCCTTTTGATTTCCTAGCCTCGTTGTTTTGGCGAGGGGCATCCTTCCGGCTAAAGTATCCCAGCAAAACTGCCCCTCCCCGCCCCCCCGCTGCTCCACAGTCATGCCCAGCTTGCGCCTCAAAACACTGCTCTCCCTCCTGGCTGGGCAGTAGAGTTGCCAGATACCTTCACCAAAAATCCCGAACAGGCAGGGAAAAATTGGTTGAGCAAAAAAAAAAAAAAAAGAGGTTGCTGCGCCTTTAAATTACCTCACCCCTCGCAGATGCCACTGGCCATCTTTTTGAGGGGAAAAAAAGGCTGCTGCACATTTAAATTACCACGTTTCTCAGTCCCCCACAACCCTCGAAGACGCCACTGGCATCCGTCCAAGGAAAACAGAAAATACCAGACATTTTACATGTCCCGTATTCTCTGGGGCTGTGTCTACATTGGCCCCTATTCCGTAATAGGGATGCAAATGTAGCACTTGGGAATAGGCAAATCCGCGGGGGATTTAAATATCCCTGCGGCATTTGCATTAACATGGCTGCATAACCGTGCCTGCCGCTTTTTTCCGGCTTGTATATAAGCCGGAGAAAAGTGCTAGTCTGGACGCGATCCTCCAGAAAATAAGCTCTTTTCCGGAGGATCCTTTCAAGTAGGAATAAGAGATCCTCTGGATAAGAGCTTATTTTCCGAAGGATCGCGTCCAGACTGGCGCTTTTCTCCGGCTTATCTACAAGCCGGAAAAAAGCGGCAGCCATGTTAATGCAAATGCCGCAGGGATATTTAAATCCCCCGCGGATTTGCCTATTCCCAAGTGCTACATTTGCATCCCTATTACGGAATAGGGGCCAATGTAGACACAGCCCCTGGGTTTTTTTACCTGACGGAAGGCCAAAATACCAAACTGTCTGGCCAAAAATCAGGCACTTGGCAACCCTACTGGGTGGAGCGCAAAGCCACCGCTAGTGCCAGGGCCTGGTCAGAAGCCTGTGCCATTCCCCACCGTCCCAGCCCAGTTTTAGATCTTTCCCTGGTGACCTGGCGGAGTTGATTTTACCTGCCTTGATTTTCAGTGCAGCTAGCGACCCTCCTTTGCACAAAGGAGCCATTCCAAGAGGACGGCCGCATTGGCCAGCTGTGAGCAGCGCAGGTCTCACCACTAAAGCCGCACAAGATGTTTGCAGGGGCGGCCTGGCGCCCGTGACAACAGAGAACCGCGGGGTCACCTTTCAGTAGAGCATCCGTTGCTCGTTGCTTAGAGGCAGCTCTGTCGTTTGATCGTCTCTCCCGAAAGGGGCTTGTTTTCTTCTCCTGCCCTGTTGGTGGGACCTCTAGAACCTCGAAATCGTCCCCAAAACACCCTGTGAGGCAGGGCAGGGCTGTTCTCCAAAGCATTGGCCGCTGTTGGAAAAGAGGAGACGGGGCTAGCGGCCCGTTGCTGTGACCGAGGATGGAAATTCTTATGTTCCTAGTCCCATGGGACAGACAGGAACCGGAGACAGAGCTTTTGAAAGCTGGTTTGGCCATGCTGCACTCAGCATCCTAACACCTAAGTGATTTAGGAACCCAGACCGTTTTCCAAAGGGATTCAGGCACACCAGTGCCTAACTCCCATGGATGGCTGATGGAATTTTTACTCCAAAGTCCCTAAATACTTTTGGAAACTAAGTTTTAGCTCCCAAGCCCTTAGTCATACATTTCTAATGCTTATTTTGTTAAAGAAAAGAATCCAGGCTCTAACCACTTGGCACCACGCTCCTGCCTGCCTCTGTAAATGAAACCAGAAAAGATTCAGAAGGAATGTCCAAAGATCCCCATTTTTCCAGCTCGTGATTTGTGGGAAGTCTGACTAGGCCCACCGATGGGAGGGAGGGGGAGCAAAGGGGAAGTTGCCCCGGGGCCCAGCGATTCCCAGGAACCCAGGAACTCCCGTGGCAGCCGGAGTCCTGGACCCCTTTGAATTGCTGCCGGAGTGCCGCTCTGGGGAGAGGACAAGTGCCACAGTTTGGGTGGTGGTGCAGGTTGGCTGCCCCAAGCCCCACCCCTTCCGCCCAAGGGCTCACCCCCCCACACACACACCTTGCCCTGGGGGCCACCGTGGCTGTCAGCCCCACTGGGTCTGCCTCATGCTTTGCAGCAGGTTGGGCTTGGCAATGCAATCTTAATGTAAAGGGTGGGCCAGATCCGGGGTCCTGGCCCCCATGGCTGGGCTCAGGGGCTGCCGCAATCCAAACAATAATGAGGAAATGTCATACTAAGTAACACACCAGTGCTGGCTAATTCACACGCAGGAGTCGATCACGTGGGAGAGTCTTTTTAATACGAATGTATCTAAATCTGTTTCATACAAACATCCCGCCAAGCAAATTCTTGGCAGCCAGAAGCCAGTGTTCACAGTGTCTTTCCCCCCTCCCCTGCCTGCATCGTCCACTTGAGGCAGCTGGCATGAAAAATTTCACCCAAAGGGTTAAAATCTGGCAACATCCTGAGCTGCCGAAAACCGGGGCTTAGAATGGACCCTGTTGGGTAACCTTAACTCGAGGGGGCACTCGCTGTCCTGCCTGATGTCCCTCTTTCTATGAGCCCCCACAGAGCCCATGGGGCGTGCAGACAGGGCCGAGGGAAAATAATTCCTCCAGGGAGAGGATTGTGTCAGTGTGAGTGGGAGGCTGGGGACAGCCATAGGGTCACACGGGTCCGAGGGCTTAAATCCCAAAGGGAAGCTTTGTCTTTTTGCTCCGGCCCGGTCTGAGTTCAGGTTTGGATTGCGCCCGGACAGCTGCCCTTCGCCTCCTCGCTTGAGCATTTGTGCGCTGCAGTGTCCACCGGCTGGTCGCCAACAGGCGCTGAGTGCGGAAGTGAGTCCCAGGATGTCTGGGTCCTAGACCTAGCTCCGGGAGGGGAGTCTAGGGGCTAGATATGGGCACTGGGGCTGTGTCAACACTGGGCCACTTATTCCGGAAAAGCAGCCACTTTTCCGGAATAACATGCCAGCTGTCTACACTGGTTGCTTGCTTTTCCAGAAAAGCAATGATGATCTACTGTAAAATTGTCAGGGTTTTTCCGGAAAAACTATGCTGCTCCCGTTCGGGCAAAAGTCCTTTTCCGGAAAAACTGTTCCGGAAAAGGGCCAGTGTAGACAGCACAGTAGTCTTTTCCGCAAAAAAGCCCTGATCGCGAAAATGATGATCAGGGCTTTTTTCCGGAAAAGTGCGTCTACATTGGCCACGGACACTTTTCTGGTAAAAATGCTTTTCCGGAAAAGCATCCTGCCAATGTAGACGCGCTTTTTCCGGCAATACTTATAACACTGTTCCGTTTTAAGCATTTCCGGAAAAGGGTGCCAGTGTAGACGTAGCCTGGGAGTTTGGATTCACAGGAAGGGAGTGTCGTGGGTTAGCACAGACAGGGCTGGGAGTCGGGACTCCTGGGTTCTCCCTAGTTTGTATCGGTTAAACCGGCGTCACCCAACCCCACCTCCATGCGGATGTTCTGTCATCCCCGAATGTCTGTCCCCAAATGGTGGCTTGGTCGCACAGCTAGAAATGGAAATGCCTGTCCTAGCTTGGCCGCCAAATTGGCTCAGGGCTAGCAGAGCCTCTTGCATTAAGCTCCTGTGGTCCCATGTACAACTCCTGGTGTTAAGTTGCCCTGTCACCCCAACAAAATGCCCCTTATCCAGCTGGATACTGGGAGCACTTTGGGCACATCGTTCGCACAGGATACAGCTGGGTCCGGGCGGAGTAGGGGTCCTGTCCATTGGGGACCTTGGCAATGGGCTGGGCACAGTCTTCCCTATAAGCTAAGCGCTTGGGCGGCTACCCACAGCTAGCAGCATGTTTCTCCTGGTGGTGCACCTCTGCACATGCACAGAATAAAATTTATTCCACACATGAAAAAAATTAGAACATTGTTCAGGCAGGGCTTGTGACTCTATGGAGGCCCCTCCACTGCCTGCCATGTCCCAGAGTTGTAAAGGGTTCTTGCCCCAGCGGTTTTTCCTTGACATCGTGGTGCTGGGCAGCTGAGGAAACAGACAGAGCCACTGTGCCACGGCCACCATGGATATTTCCACCCACCTGCAGTAAAGAACAAACCACCTCTTGATTGGATTCACTCCGTCTCTGGTGCTAACTCCCAAGCCTTTGCCCTTGCCAGCAGCACCCACCCTCCCCGTGGCCGAAGGCAAGAGGCAGGGGACAGGGAGCAGACGCGGCATCGCCCATGTCGAAGGAGCTCACTGTGACACTCCCCGTCCCCTTTAAAACAGGCCTGACCCTGCACGGACCTTGAGCCCGATCCCACGTGCCACGTTCATGGCCTGCTGCTTTCATTCAGGCCTGGCCGGTACCCAGGCCACGTGGCTTCCTCCCACCCTAGCGGCGCCTGTGTTTGATGCTTCCCCCCCATGCCTGGTGACTCCATCCCCCCCATCTAAAACAGGAAGGGGAGCGGTGGGACTGGCCACCGCCCTGTCCGAGGCCTCATTAGCAATAGGAACCCTCCCCAGAAGCAGAACCACGCAAAGCCGTGAGTCAAAGCTGCGGCTTTGCGTGAAACTCCACTGTATCAGGGTTATCGCTGTGGTTATGCTCCCCACCCTTCCAGGTGCTCAATCCTAAATGCCCAGGCTCACTGGAGTCCCCTTGGAAACATGGGGCGGAAGGGGGGGGCGCTTTTTCTTAGCACGGGCCCTTTTAGACGTGTATCTGTGACTTCTCCCACACCTCTTGCCCGGCTCCTCCTGGGATTATTTTTTTCATTTTCCTTTTTTTTTTAAATATTATGTACTATATTTTTAGTCTTAAACACTATATATTATATATATTTAATTTTTTATATATATAAAAATATAAATGTTACCAAAAAAAAATAAAGAGGTGGTGTGTTGCCTTTGTTGCACGAAAGCGACGCCTGGGGAAGGGGCTGCAGCAGAAAGGAGTGGGAGCGGGACGGGGCGGGCAAGAGGGGTGTTGCACGGACATTTGGCACCAGAACAATCCCATTGCAGAGCGGCGGATAACTGGCGCCCTGAAGAAGGAGAAGGGCTTGTCTCTAGCACTGTTCATCACCAGCACGCAACGTACTTCCCAAAGGAGCTGGGTAGCGCTCTCCCCCTTGGATGAGGGAAACTGAGGCACGGAGAGGGGAAAGGTAAGAGCCTAAAGACCTTTGAGGGGTGGGGCAGGAGCAATTTACCCACAGTCACAGCC